TTTACAATATATTTCAGATCAGAATGAAATGGGACACCTATAGCCATGCTCATGTTCTATAAATAGCATATGAAACGTAATAATTGTCTCCATCATAGTGACGTCACAATGTGAAAATGACGTCAATATGTAGGTAATGAAAAATGGTTTTCACAGTCTTACTCGAGCAGCGAACGGCTGTAAAAATTAATGTATAACATGGAAATTTATTTGAAGTATCTTATAATAATTTGTAGAAGTTTTATGAAGACAATAGACTTTCCAGACGTTCAATCATAAATTGGATTGATTGTTTGAGTGACGGGAGGGAGAAAGTTAAAAATGACGTTTGTTTTGTAGCCCAGCAAAAGCAAGCTGGGCAAGAGATGATTCATTTGTTAGGCAATTTGTTATGTAAGATTGCAAAAGATACAGCAAGAAAAATGGATGAATATCTTTACAATAAAATAATTAATAAATCCCTAAAATATCGTTTACTTTAGACTTTTAGCATATTAGATTTGATTAAAAAGGCACACATTCTTTATCCACATTGAATAAACGACGCTCCAAAAATAGAAGACTTGGGTTTTGATGCTCACCATGCTCATTCTGGAAAAGAATAATCATTATCCACCCATACTACTATCGAGATTTGGCCATTTCTGATAAATGGACTGTTTTTGTTATAAAAATTAACTTACATGGAAAGAAATCTAAAACTCAGAAAAATCTTTCAGCTTCTGTGACAGAACGCTACGGAGGGGGTCATGTGACCGCCAATATCGCGTGATTCGCGCATGCTCAGAACGGTGGCAGATGTGCATTGAAATCGGAGAGGACTTATTTAAAATATAATCAACATTGAAACCAAATATTATTTCTTTTATGGAAGTTATTCAGTTAGTTCGCAAACTTTTTGATCACCCCTCGTATACATTCGGCGGTCATGGTTTGAAAAAAAAAATCAAGCTCACTCGAACTGAAAAATAGATATAAAAAATTATGGCTTTGCTGTTATTAAGAAAATATTTTTTGATTGATTGTATATTGATTAACGTCCCTCTCGGGAATTTTTCTCTCATATGGAGACGCTGCCACTTGCTGGTGGAGAGCTGCAAAATTATTCTTTACTCGGCACTTGCGGCCATTGAGCAGGGAGGGATCATTTACGTGTCAGCACCTACTGCGACACGGGACCTCGGTTTATATGGTCTTATCCGAAGGACCGGACTCCACGTCCCACAGTGGGTTTCGAACCCGCGACGTAAGAATCAACTCCTCACTTTGCGACTGTAAAGCAGACGCTCTAATCACTGTGTCACGCGGGCGACTTCTCGTATTTTCTATTTTCTTGAAAGATATAACTTTTCCTATATGTAGAAGGACCTCTGAACACTTGTTATTGTGGGACCATCAAACCCTGAGAATGGTTGGAAGAAGGATATGGAGATAAACAACAATATTCAATCTCAAAGTCCATAAAACATACAAAATAGGAGCAGAGCAAATGCGGACCTCCGAAACATCAGAGGTGGGATCAGGTGCCATGGAGGAGTGAGCATTCCCTGCTGTCCGGTCACATCCGCCGTGTGCTCCTTGTTATTATCAGGAAATAACGGAAAAATCCGGCGTCAATTCGGTGTATAATTAATGGACTAACAAATAGCATGAAAAAAACGTCAGTCGGCATTTGACTCAATGATAAAGTGTATTTACTGACAAGGTCATTGTATCGACAATAGAATTCACCAAATGATGAATTTAAACGAGACTGTTGATTTTCTTGTTTCATCAACTTGCTTGTCAATAATTTACCTCGTTTTAGAAATTGTACATATGTAGAGCAAGCTCTTGCGTATCGAATCAACTGAGATATACTCCGTATGCAGGTGATGAAGGTATATTGCTGTACATGTATAAGTGAGGGAAGCTGACGATAGAAAAGTTAAAGGCTTCACTTTTATCATATAGCTTGGTTGTTAGATTACCATTAACGTCTTTTTCAAGTAAAATATCTAAGTATGAAACATTTGTGTCAGACTCTGTGGTATCTTTTATCCCATCTCACCGGGATATATAGTATCGACGTAGGAATGGAAATTACCATTGTTAATTGACAATACGTCGTCGAATGTAAATGTCGAGTTGAAGGCCACAGCAAATGTTTTCTTCTTTTCACGCAAAAGATTTTGCACAAATTCTGTTTCATATGAATATAAATATAGGTCCGCTAGTAACGGAGCGCAATTGGTACCCATTATCGTCCATTGTCACTTCTTAAATTTTACTTAATTTTGAATGTTTCTACTGTAGATTACCTTTGTCATAACCGGTGGTTCTTAAAAGATTTTTTTTTTATTAAAAAAGGAAAGGTTTCTAAGTTTTCACTCATTCCTCATTATCTCCCCATAAACTAGAGCATAGTCCTTCATTCGAATAAAATTACACCCCCCCCCTTCACCTAAGGATGCCTTACGGCAAGTTTGAAGCTTAAAAGGAAGGTAGAAACTATGAAAAGTTACAGACGAACAGATACTAGCAGACGGACAGACAGGTAGATTCAGAGCTAGAAGGTCGTCGGATATAAAGTAATCAGAAAAGCTTACATGGCCCTTTGGCTCACGTGAACCAAAAATGACGATAACATTCGACTTTTGTATGAGAAAAATACATACAAGCATGCGAATATGGTTGATTGTACGTTATTTAACGTCCCTCTCGAGAATTTTTCACTCATGAAGACGCTGCCACTTGCCGGTGGAGCCTGATTAGTGAGGGTTCTTTTTCGTGCCAGCACCTACTGCGACACGGGACCTCGGTTTATACGGTCTCATCCAAGGATCTGTCTCCATGTCCCGCAGTGAGATTCTAATCTGCGATGTGAGGATCAATTCCTTATAATACTACGCGACTCTAGAGCCACGCAGGCTACTGAATTAACACGTGTGAATATGAAGTGACAATTTTTTTATATGCAGTACATGTACTTTCTACCCTGTCAATTATCAGAGTCTTAGAAATGGCCCGACAAAGGAAAAGCAGTATGGGTGTAATATGTAATGGAACTGCAAAGGTAATGAAACGCTCTTTATGATATACTAGTAATAGTCTAGTATTCAACTTAAAACCCTTTACGCGGCGGCTGGTCTCAAGATGGCATACCTTAAGGAAATTAATTCGTCCAAAATGGTCATTGGCCTACTTGACATTCGGATATCAAGGCCGGCTTTCCGGAAAGTGTCATGACAACGCATAAGTAAACTCAAAGAACAAAAAGTCCAAACCACCTTCGGCAATGACTACAGAAAAAAATGATCCACCCAAATGGCGTCTCTTCCAGGCTTTTGTGAGTTGTTTTTAAATGTATGAAATTACATCAACAGTAAACGCCTTGAGAAGATGGATAAATGAATATCTTCGTTGATGGCTTGAAGTTTTTCTTCCATCGGTCTTTAGGGATAAAGAGACATAATGTTGAGCAAGATGAAATACAGGCAAAGGGAAAACCGACAGAAATTGAAGTCATTCGAACTCTGTCAACAGGATTCGTGGACAAGATGAGAGAGATCTTTTGAAATTAGAACTCTTACTGATCGGTTTCCATCGCCACTACCTGGTAACTTGCGGTAAATAACAGACCTAAAATGACCATAACAGACTGTAAAACAGACCATAAATGACAGTGTGGAGCACAGCATTTGCTCACATGCTGTCTTAATGTATAGATGCAAGTAGGAACTCAAACAAGAACTGTATACATGTGCAAGTAGGTGGAGGGATGAAAAAGTACTTCTTGCTGGATTTGGAAGCTAGTAAACCAAGGACTGAAAGCCGCCCGACAAGAAGTGAGAAGATCACTAAAGTAGGCGCAATTGTAGGCTTTCGATTTTTAAAGGGTCGAAACCTCCACTGACAACTGTTTTTTTTTTTTTTGTTAATTTTAGTCTCTTGGGAAAGTTTTCACTCGTTTTGAGACATGGAAGGCTAAAAAGTTTGACTCGCACTAGTCACTTGCGGCATTTGGTTAAAAAGGGATCTCTTTCGTGCCAGCTCCTACTGCGATAAGGGACCTTGCGTAATATATGTTTTCATCCCAAGGAACTTGTCAATACAGTCTTTAAAATGTCCCATAGTTGGATTCCAACACGTGATTTAAGGATCAATTTCTTACTCCGCGACCCCAGTGACAGTGAAAAACTCTGATACTCAGTAAAGTATGGTTGCAGAAAAGAATGTAAGTAAGTATTTAAAAAATTGGTAATGATGGTGAAATAGAACATTCATTTCGAACTGGATTCGAAGTGGTGTTGCCAAGGTTGTCGCTCTCCATTGCCAGTTAAAATGGTGACCTTTTCATCGTCGTCATTTCCGGTCACAATTCATTTTCTTTCAAGCGATTTTTAGCCGGGTTTATCGCTTGCAGAGCATTGCCCAGCTTAATATGGTACACACTCAACACAATGGTGTTTTTTCCCGATCGTGTCGTTTCCTAGAAGGAAGTCTTTACCCTTAACAGCCTAAAGATTATCCTTTACCGATCGGATCAGATTTCATCGACCGACACGAAGAGGAATCCTTTGCGTTCGTACAGGGACCGCAGCAGATTCGTCTATCAAACATGTGGAGATTGCTTTCCAACTATTATGAGAAAAGGCTGTATGACCTGATGCAGTATCGAATTTGCTAACTCATACGATTCACAGCCTGCACCACCTTAAAAATGTCTGTAATAGACGATAATAAAATGGAGGCAATATCTGGAGCGGGGAATGCGGGTAACGATGATGATGACGGGATTCCTCTCTATATACCACTGAATAAAATTTAATGATTTTTGATTACCTAATTGATAAAGTCAACATTGCGCACGAGGGACACCAGGGCGTAAGTCGTACAAAGGCATTCTTGCGTTCAAAGACATGGTTTCCTGGCCTTGACGTTGCCGTAGAAAATGCTCTTAAACAATTCTAGCGTGTCAACGTATAACAGACAGGCAGATTCGCTTTGAACCTTTCCAGATGTCGGACATGCCGTCAGGACCTTGGGAGAACCTCAGCGCAGACTTTTGTGGCTCGCTTCCCACGGGTGAATATTTGTTCGTAGTGATTGATGAATACTCGCGATTTCCTGTTGTTGAAATCGTGAAATCAACTTCCGCTAACACAACCATACCCGTATTGGACAAATTGATCTCTACATTGGGCGTACCAAAAGTCATAAAAACCGATAATGGAAGCCCATTCAACTCCCATGCATTCAAGGAGTTTGCCGAGAACATTGGTTTCCATCATCGACGCATCACTCCAAGATGCCTGAAAGCTAATTCCCAAGTTGAATCGTTCAATAAGCCAATGATGAAAGCCGTTCGTGCCGCACACATTGAAAGAAAGAACTGGAAGCAAGAGCTATTCAAATTCCTTCGCCAGTACAGGGGGACGCCTAACCCATCAACCGGATTTGCACCGTTCTTACTTCTGTTCAATCGTGAAACTAGGACCAAACTTCCTCAAGTTCCGACACATAAATCAAATGCTGTCGACGAACTGATGAACTTCATTGTGGTGATGTCGTCCTCATGAGGAATGAACAAAGGAACAACAAGCTTGCCCCAAATTTTGACCCACAACCGTATACCGTTATGGCCAAGAAGGGAAGTATGGTATCCATGTCTCCTGAACCAGGAATGGAAAGACTTACTACTCGTAACACATCGTGTTTCAAACGAATCCCGAACACTCTCGCTCGTGGAACCAGAACTTACAGAAGGAGAGGAACTGATACTCGAACGCAAGTTGAAAAACACATCTGTGCAAGATGTTGCTCTGAATGTGACATCGGAAACAAAACCGAAAACAGTACCGTTATCAGACAAACCTGTCATTCCAGTCAGAAATTGAGCGGAACCGTACACCACGCGATCGAGTCGAATCGTGCGGAAACCTGCAGCTTTGAAGGACTTTGTTAAATAAACTTGCATATTGTTTTATGTTTTGGTTTAAAGATTGATGTCAATTTTCTAGACAATATTGCAAAGTCTCTCAATTTGTAGTACTAGTCAATTTCATTGTAAGTGTAATTTTTTAGTTGTGTATTAAATTGTATTTGTGTTTGCTGTCAATTTCAATTTATGACCAAATTTCATATCTGAGAAAAGGAGGAATGTAATAACTGCATATTATTCATTTACATTATTGTTACTATTTTAATGGAACTATTTCTTATTGTGTAATGTTTAACCTTATTACTCTCTAGTTTCCCGCCGTTATTCCACATGCTTTGTGTATGCGTATGAATATCATCCTACAGAATAAAATGTCAGCATCCAGTGTACATGTTCTTGAGTGTACCAATATTTAAGACCTACCCAAGTATTACATGCACCTCTTATTTTACTTTTTGATCTGACACTTATTTCTGGTCTCCTAGAGCAAAACATAGATTTAGTCATTATATAGTCATATAAGAGGCGGGGGTATCATTTAGTGCTTACATTCTCTAGTATCGTTATATTATACATTAAATGAGTGAACGTTAAGGATTTGTGGTCGTCTTGTCCTATCAAGCTTCACAGTACAGTATCATTAGCTGACCCTCAATTAAGGCATTGTCCTACGTTACTGATTTTGATAATGATAACATCGATCTACGACTGGACACACGAAATTTTGATCAAGTATAAGAATGATATTCATATAGTTGCAACAATCAGATAACCTAAAAATCAATAGCGCTGTGCTTTATTGCTTCAGAGTCTGCAACATTCCAACTTTTACGTTTTCTGCGGATAGTTTTATGCAAATTGAATCAACTTGAACTGTTATTTGACCTTATTTCGAATAAACTAAATTAAATGACACTATGTATATTGAAATAGATTCAAGTATATTCTTTACATTTTTGGAAAACATTATTTGCACGTATTTTCCCATCGCACGTGAACAATGAATATCTTTTTCATTAATACTTCATTGTCTTTAACAAATTTTCATGGAGAAATATGGCAGATGCCCTATGTGGAATTCGAAATAGATAACTACACCAATTCCTTTGATTTCTCAAAGTCCCTCCCAAAAAATTAAGTATTGTTTTTTAGAGCTTACATATCGGAGATAAGTATTGTCTTGATATTATTTCAATCTTTGAAAGAAAATATGAACATTAACACTTTGACGAAACCGAATACGAAAAGGGTTTTACAATCTATGAAATAACTATAAAGGGCAAAATATCGAAGGGATTTTTTTTACGAAAAGAAGCATGTGAAAAGTCTGGAATTTCTGCATATATTTGTCTCTGGGGGTATATCTATACTAGAACGCGATGAACTTGTGATCAAATTTATTTATGGAACGTCTAGTTATAACAAGATGCGAGTGTGAAACACTATGGATGCCTCCATGTGCCAATTTATGGTGATCGAGGGTTGAATTTTAATTATCAAACGCATATCAAACTCCAGAGATCAAGGTCAAAATTGCTGGTACCCAAAGGAAGGTCTTGTCACAAAGATATACTTGTTAAATATGAAATCCCTAGTTCTAACAGTTTTGGCTAAGGTTAAAGTTTCTAAACAGTGGTTCAAAGGGTTTATAAATGACAAATTATTAATTATCAATCTATTTCTATATACACATTTTACGTGTTTCTATTAAGATTGTCGACCTTGTTTGACATCTTTATATAGTTGAAGAGAAATTGTTTTTATTAAATATTTAATGTTTAGAAAGAGCATTTTTGCACATGGTAGCAATTTCTAATCCTTGACATCTCTTTCCTGTCTCACGATATCAATGTCATTTACTCGTACTTGTTATCAACTTTATGGTTAGAGTTTAGGATTGCGTTCTTTGAATTTGTTATGCTTGGCTCTGCCTAATTTCAGTCATGTAAATTAATGTCATACGGATCCCCCTGTCCATGACTTTCTTATCATTAAGTTTATTGACTGGACAGTACGAAGGTAGGCGGAGATGTGAGATGGTAAGTGACTCAATTCTAGGAAATGTCTGTTAAATTCATTTTAATCTAAAATGTATTTGTGACCATTGATATTTTTTTGATTTATAATAGAGTCTAAAGTTTAAAACAGTTTTAAAATTGGCAACAATATTACAATTACTGTGATGATGGCGGAAAATAGGTTTCGCAAAGTAATGGCTTACTATATACATGTACACGTATAGTGAAGACGCTGGTAAAGTTACTATGTGACAATGGAACATGTATCTGAAACATTTTCAGGCGACTGCATGTCATATTGAATAGAGATATAAGTATGTAAAATTTTATTGCTGTCTACTTTTTATTTAACAGATTTGTAGGATTAGTGAAAATGTTTTCTGTTAGTCTGTGGATAATTTCCTCCCCTCCGTCAAGTTATCAAGTTCTATGGTCGATACAATGACCTTGTCAGCAAATACCATTTACGATTTTGGTAATTCACACAATATCGTATGTTTATGATACTTAGTAATCTTAAGATCTATCAAAATCTTAAGACAACTAGATACATGTTTTAAGTCTAAAGTGAAACTGGTGACAGTATATATTTTGGTACAAAACCTAAGAATATTTAAAGATAAACGGTTTTTAGTGATAGAACAGTCCTTTGGACTATATTAGGCCAGACGGAACGATGCCCCCCCCCCCCTTCCGCAAAAAATAATTTGCCAATAAATACACTGTAATTGATAGAAAACCTAAAATGTACCTACTTTATATTTTCCCACTTTATTCATTTCAATGCACTTTTTCTTTGATGATATATTTTTAATTGTGCTTTAGGGATTAGATAAGTCCCCTCACTTCATTTTTTTTTTTAGACATTTTATACTGAAATTGCACCCCCAATGCTTCTTAAGGCCATGTATGTACATTTATGTAAAATCCATATATCATATATAACTTTATTCAAAATTGTTTCATTTGAATTCCATACCCCGCAATAATATCATAATAACTATGATCAAGCATTGCTAATTTAAGCAATTTTTAAAATGACTAATAAATATAATTTGTGACAAAAATGTGTTTGAGATTCATGTGGTTTTTTATTGATAGCAATTGGTAATAAAATGGCATGCCTTATTCGCGGGCGAGATATTTGGAAAAATAAATTTTCTGTTTATTCTTTAAGAAAATTTTTCTCAAATTACAAATTAAAGATTTATTTCTCTTTGTATATGAATTTTAGGGATATTTTTCACATCATAGTTTAGGAAAAGAGTTTACGGGGTTTTTTTCTTGTCAAAAAATTTCTGTCCCCTCTTGGAAAAAAAAATCCTGAATTATTTGAAAATTCACATAAATATCAACATAAATATGAAAATTTAAAAATGTGTGGCAGCTGGCTTATATGTAGCTACACTTCATTTTTTTTAGAAATTAGAAAGTAAACATTTCATTCAGTCGTACAAAATTAGATAAAATCAAATAATATTATTCTTGGGGTATCCCACATTAATCTACCGGAATGTGTAATGTGTACGAAAATCATGCTGTAACATCTCATGCTGTATGTACATGCTTTCTTCCTTCTTTTTTAATAGTATTAAAATTATAAAATTTTGTTTATTGGAAAATGTTTTTTGGTTTCTTTTCTTCTTCTGTTTAAAGCATTTTGCTGCAGCAGTTGAAGCGTTTTAAAGACACTTTCATCAAATTTTATGAACGAACTTTGAACACGATATGGTGTTTCAAAAGGATTCATTGCTATAATCATTCATTAATTGCAAAGATTCCGATACTATAGTAGCTTTAATTAAAAAAAGCATCTCATAAATTTCGTCAGTAACTACTATTTCTAAGACATTTAAACAAATTATATTCAATTATTTTTTTATGGTGATGAAATTAATTCAAATTTAATTTTTTTACCCAACCCCCGACACATACAAACACACCTTGATTACAGTAAAGTTGATGCAATAAAATATATTTTTTTTCCTAGTGTATATCTGCAAAATTATTGAGAGGCACTTCTGCATATGGACTTTGGACAGCCAACTGCTTACTGCCAACTGTGCATACATATTTTATGTAACAAAAAATCCCTGTGAAATTTCTTGACAAGAAAAAATACGTAAATACCTTTCCTAAATGTGAAAATTTATTTTGGCAGATTTGTTTTTTTCAAGCAGGTTAAGATTTTTATTTTATACTTATAACTTTTAGAGATTAGTTTTGTAAATGTTTGAAACAGCAGTGACAAATCTTATGATTGTCATAACATTACCAGTTACTGTATATTGAAAGGATGGTTGCCCCACCCCACTTCTTACCATAGTATAATGATATCAAGGATATGTATTTTTGTGTGGAAAATAATTGGAAGTGAAAGGTAGTTTGCCTTAAAATAAATTTAGCCACCTACCCCCCCCCCCCCCCCTACGAAATAGGATTTTCGAGTTTGGGCTATTTCCTTTTTTTTTTTTTTTGCTTGTCAACTTTTTCAGGTAAGTAAAAAAAGTTTTCTCTGGTTCCCCCCCCCCCCCCCCCCACTTTCAAAAACGATGCTACGTGTCTGCATTATAACACACAGAGATGATTTTTAACGTAAAAAACGGAAATTTATTTTCAA